ATCATGATTTTTAACGTAGAGCAATGTTCCAAGTCTAATGAAATGACGCCATGTGGAGGTGAGAAAAATTTAAAAAAAAAAAATTGTTTTAGCGCAGGGAAATATTCCCTCCGCGTTATTTTGCATTATTCAAGTGTTATTGTGATTGTCTTTATGTGTTATTGTGTTCTAGGAATATTCTTAGAGTTATAATAACACAATAACACATCCAATGAAATGACGCCATGTGGAGGTGAGAAAAATTAAAAAAAAAAAATTGTTTTAGCGCAGGAAAATATTCCCTCCGCGTTATTCTGCATTATTCAAGTGTTATTGTGACTGTATTTATGTGTTATTGTGTTCTAGAAATATTCTTAGAGTTATAATAACACAATAACACATAAATAATATACAATAAAGATTGAATAACAAGAGGGGAATATTTCTGTGTTATCGGACCGATTTTTTTTCTTTACTTGCGTGTGATTTTACGTGCGACATGATTTTATTGGACTGGATTCTGAATTTAGTTCTACCTTACGAGTCTGATTTAGGGGTGTAAAACACGAGCTGGCTGGCTCACGAGCCAGCTCGTGTTCAGCTCGTTTATATTTCGAGCTCAAGATTCTAAATTTAGTTCTACCTCACGAGTCTGATGTAGGGGTGTAAACGAGCCGAACACGAGCTGACTCAAAAAGTGTGTTCGTGTTCGGGTCGTTTGCTTAGCGAGCCGAACACGAGTTGTTCACAAACAATGAATCGTTTTGACAACCCTAATCACGTAGCCATAAAATGTTAAGGATTGGGGCAAGATTTAAAACATCATTTGAATCTAATTTAATATTTTGTATTCTATCTTTTTCATTAATACTTTCAATTGATTATAAATCTTTGTAGCCTTGTAGTCAATTAATTTTTTTAAAAATACTACTCATCAAATATATATATATAATTGATTATTAGTATTTCGAGACAAAACGAGTCGAACACGAACGAATAAATATTTGTTCATGTTGTTCGTGTTCGGCTAATTAACTTAGCGAACGAGCCGAACACGAGCTTCTTAACGAGTACTTAACGAACCAAACACGAACTATTTACGAACGCCGAGCCGTTTTGACAGCCCTAATCTGATGTAATATTTTTCCACCCGTGCAAATGGCGTTATTGTTTTTATATATTTAAATTTTGAGGGGCTAAAATATGCCAAGAATCGTACATGATAATAAATGAGTAGATGGATAGCGAAATAACTGTAGATGTGATGGAATCATAAAAGTGCAGAGGTCGTTTTAAA